ATTTTAAAATAGTATTTTGATGGAAAATATGTGGTTAAAAAATATGGAAAATGTTGGATTTGTGTGTAATATTATTTTATTAAACAATATGTGATTGAAAATAAGAGAGAAAAAAATACATTTTGAAAATAATAGGGATCAAACAAGGGCTTAATGGCTAAATCCTTAAACTAAACATTCAAATACCTAAGAGAAAACGATTGATTCCTTCATTCAAATACTAAACCAAAGACCAAATATGCACATAATTTGAAATAAATTAAGTTCATCGCATAAATGAATGCTATCGTGATATTGTCAAATTTAGACAAAAAATAATTATTGATTTTGACTTAAATTATTATTAATTTTTTTATCGATACTAAACGGGTGCTTATTTTGCTTATAAGAAATAGATAAATAAAAATAATGATTTGTGTTTCAGTATTTCCACAAGTTGCTTCTAATTTTTTTTTATGCTTAACCAAGCTAAAAGTCCCAAATCAATTTATCTTCCTTTTCCCTTTTTTCATATTGTAATAAATTATCCTGGAAGAATTTAAGCTGCCAACTTATCTTTTATCTCTTCACTCTTGAATTCCCTTCAACATTGTGCTGGCCCATAATCGACACATAAAGTGAAAAAGAGATAATGAGTTCTTGCACTCCAATTTCCTCCAAAACTCACACCATTTGAAACCCAATCAAATCCTCTTCTACTGGCTGATACTGTCTTACCGATGAAGTTTCTTGTACCACAAGAAGAAATTGCTTAAATAAAACAAGGGCTTCTGAGATAGATTGGATCTTTCAAAGGGTTAAATTTGATTTTTTATTTATATTTAAAAAAAATGTTCTAGGCTGGTGGGTCACATGACCCACCAGGACCCGCTGTGGATCCGCCACTGGTTGCATATGTTGTTATCAAAGAAAAGATGAAAGAGAAAAAGAAAAAGAAAAAGAAAGAATGAGCTTCTATTTACTATAACATGTTTCATATATAATAACAGATGTGACTAAGACATGATTGGACATTACATGATAAGATTTTTAGCATGTTGGCTAACATATTTCAACTTCTTTGTTAGAAATCTTTCAAAAAGTATTACTTTTAGTTTTTATATGCTTAGCCACGCACGATCATTTTTCTATTCCGTCCACATCACCATTTTGTAGTAACATACCCTATGCAATATTTTTGAACTTTTACATATGTTAAAAAATTTGTATTGAAAATTTACCATGTAAAGGGCCTAAATTGTTGGTTCGAGCAATATGATTGTGTTGCAAAGAAAAGACATGTTAAAGGTCCCAAATAAGAGCATTACTTGACACGTCCAATGAATTCAAGAACGAAGGTTATAAATAAGAACATGATTCGATTTTGCTAGAATCCTGACCAACTTAGGATTGCTCTTATTATATAACCTGTTAAAACTCACTCAACGCGTTAATTAATTCCTTTGTGTACTAACTTCAACATCTTACACCTTACTCTCTATAAACCGTCAACACTAATTCCAGATTCCTTCACTCTAATTCTCTCTATCTTCCTCAGTCCTTTCCTTCATATATTCCACACATACACAGAACATACTCAGTGAAGCCCTAAATTCATCCATGGCAGGCCTTCAAACCAATGAGTTTGACACTTCTTGTTCTCAATCTAGCAAGAAAAGAAATCACGAGCCAAGGGAAATTGAAGCAGCAACAGCACTTGCCTTCTTGATGCTATCTTAGGACAATCGGAGTTGGTACACTGGTCCAGCCACCAGTGCCGCCACCTCCGCTGAACTCATAGAAGATGTACAAAACCCTGCCTCTGCCGCAGTCACTTGTTAGTTTTATCTTCTCTTCACTCGGTACCATAATGTGGTCCATGCTATTCAGTGAACCTAAGGAACGTGGATAACTGCTTTAGCAGTTAT